AGCGAAGTTCGGATCAGCACATCTGTTACCACCTTCATTGGCACTGGAAATTGGTCGTAATGTGTGATATTTAAGCGCACCGTCGCCAGCATATGGGATAACGTTAGGTTGAGTTTCTCTGTTGCGCCTCAAAATGAAGTTCAGCAAAGTTGGAGGGACTCAAAATCGACAGACTCAACTAATAACACAGTCCAGTGGGAGGAATATCTGAAACTGGGACAGATCCAGTGCTCGCCTTTCCACCAGCAGTCTGGAAAGAAGATGCGCACAGAGAGGCGCAGCGTTCTGCTTTGGAGCGTCAGCTGTGCGCCACCCCTCACTTCTTCCCTCACTTTGCTCTGCTTCACAAATTACAAACAGCGGTTGTAAATTTGATTTGAGCTGAAAATCACTTTAAAGTTTGAGGAACTTTTGCAAACAAAATTCTGTTTTCAACACAAACTTTAACGCATCCTTCCAGAGGTTGAATTGTTCCCAGACTTTTAATATTATTTAAAATATGCCGTTTCATCAACAATGCAAACACATACATTTTTTGAAAAAAAAAAGACCAAAACTGAAACATAATACTGACGAATGAAGCATATTTTTTGTCTTTTCTTTTCTCCTCGTTTTTGTTTGTTTGTTTGTTTTGTTCTGTTTTGTTTTTTCACCTTCCTAACTTTTTGTCTTTTGGGCTACATCTGTATTATCAGAATCAGGCAATGAAAAGCTGTTGTGAATTATTCATCTCATTGTATTGTACAAATGTGTTTATCAGGAAAACAGTGTCAAAATAATATACAGCCCTATGCATAATGCTGCACAGCTAAAGCAGTTATCAGTTATATAAGGAAATATAGGACAAAACAAACCAGAAGTTTCTCCAAAATGAACAAAGAGACAGTTGCTCTTTAGTGGATCAGCCACTAAAGATACCGACAACAATAATGGAGTTGCAGGACTTTCTGCCAAGTACTGGCTTTGTTGTACATGTGACAACAATACTATGTTAGATCCACTTTGATCCAAGGAAAGAAATATGTCTTTACCTTCACTGTTCCAGCAGACACTGAAGGGTTTTGAGGCAAAACCTGTTCCTCTTCATCTAATTAATGTTTAGATGATTAATTAAAGATCTAATGAAACTGAAAATAAGATAACCCATTATCATTAAAACAAAAAAGCTTTAGCTGTTTTATATTTATCTAGGGTTTTGAGGTTGCTGTTTTTTTACAAGCTGATCAATTCTGTGTAATCCTTCCTTCATAGATAGTGGTGTTGGGGAATCTGCCTGGTGCATGTGAGACTAAATTTAGGTTATTTCAGAAAGGATATGTTTTGTTTTCACCATGACTGCAATTCCACAGGAGTTGATTTATAACAATCACTTTGCTTAAAAACTTGTGTTTCATACTACTGCACCCATATGGAAGTATTTCTTTGCATTAATGGCATAACTGCTCAGACTTTGTGCCAAGCCTTAATTTTAAGCTAATTTCTTTCACAAAATTAAAAGCTCCTAAATATATTTTCCTGAAGCGAGAGGAAAGGATACTTAAACCAAAATTAAGAATTTTCTGGCCCTTCCACAGAAAAACTTTACAAGTGAGCAGAATTGACAGAAATAAAAATTTGAATCTTTCACTTAAGTCAAACCTAAATTGGTTATTTAAATGGACAGTTCGAAAACATAAATGTGGCATTTTTGGTGTCTTTTGGCACACTTTATCTCTGTCCTTTCTCATCTTGTTCAGTTTTTCCCATGTTTGGTCCTATGCCCATAATAGCCTCTCTCTGTTAGAAAATGATTAATAAGTCAATGAAGATGCCTCCATGCCATGTGCTGCAGGGAGAGGGGAGTAAAATATCCTCCCCTCATTTCCAAGCACTTGAACCTCTCTTGTAATGCCACCGGAGTGCATGTTTGTAGTTCAGCTCATATCAACAGTCTCAGTCCAGAGACAGGTTTGTCTGGAAACATCTGACCAATCTCAAGGACATTTTCAGCTCATGTCCCTGAAATTTCAGTGAGTCACTTAAGTATATGTGACAGGTAGAGATAGGCCCAGAGAAGAGATACGATGTTCCTGGTGTGTGCAGACGAAGTGTGAGAGGTCATTTTAATCAGTGCAAATCCACGGGTGTTAGTGCTGGATCTAGGTAAAGGTCAATAACAATGCAGTTGCCTAAAAATACTTCAGCTCAGACAGCCACTTCAATAAGGCTGATCTGTAAGCTTGGATGTAGTTATGAAATATGTTACCATATGATCCAAAATTCCTTTATTTTAAAACAAAGGCCCATCGTGCATTCTTTGCAGCGCACTCACCAAGCATGCTCTCTGTTGCCCAGCTGTTTGTCCTTCTTTGGTAGTCAGATCTAGATTTGGAGCCAAAAAGAGATCCTCATTACATCTGACCCCTGCTTTCTTTACTCTGAGACGAGCTATGGATTTTACAGTGACAACTCTATAACAAATTGCTTTACAGGCAGCAGGTGATGGTGGTCATACCACTCATCATCCAGCTCACTCTATTGGTGACTCGCTTTGAGCCAGCTCCAGCTGTGGTCTTTAAGGGGCCGTGTGTGGGGTCCTTGCTCCTATTCTGGGCCCATTAAATGCCTGGAGATAAATTTAGATTGAAACAGACAAAAGAAAGAAAATTGATGACAAATAGTTATCTTTTCCTACAAGTCAAGAGAAGCGACAGCATCAAGTTCATAGAGAAAACATTTGTAGGGTATTCTGTTCTTGCTTGAGGCAAGTCTTTAAAAAGAAGGCTGTAAATTTATGGTTCAACTCCTGACAGGTTATGTGCTCCCTCCTTGACCTCAGTTTCACAATCACATTTTCACAACATGGAACTGCAGATATGTGGTCAGCTTGATGTTGTAGAGCAAATCAGCACTTGGGAAATCTACACTAAACAAATATGTGTCTGCAGCAGTCATTTTCAAGTTCAACTTCATTTACTTATGGATCTACTCATTCATGCCCCCTCAATTTGTCATATTTTCTCCTGTTATAACCATAAACCTCAAAGTATTTTATTAGGATTTTATGTGAGAGACATAGAGTAAATCATACTTTATGAATGTTTTCTTTTTCAATTTCATTTACACGTACATGTCCTTTCATATAGATGTCTTGCACTTTGTCATATTTGTAAACAGAATTTTCTGACTTTGTGTTTGTAGCTCATAACTGGAGTTCTTCCAGAACTGGATTCATTGGTTGCTTTGGATTCCATTTTTGAATGACGGCTGAAGCAGTGCTCCATGTGAAGCTTACAACATTGCTTTACAATCTAAACCTGCTTTTAATTTCTTCACAATTTGACTTCTGGTCTGTCTGCTGTTTGTTCAGTCAAGGTCTCTAAAATTACACACAGGTGGACAATATTTAATAAGTATAGGACTTTTGAAGGCAATTACACTATATGTTATATAGTATTATCATATAGCGGTATCAAAGTAGATGGTCTGATAAATTTTTCACATTTTGAATCAATATTTATTACCTTTCCTCTATTTTAAATCATATGACAGCTACTCTGTCATAAAATCTTTATTAAATATATTGAGGTTGTTATGTGAGAAAACCTTAAACATTAAGTTCTGTCGAACTTTTATTGGACTTCACTGTAAAGTGTTTTATCACAAGCTTGTATCTTTTAATTATATTTTGACTCTAGAATGTTCAAACTAACCACAGAATATCTCCTCTTTATTTATTATTTTCTTGTGGATTCTTGCTATTGGGTGTCACGTGTCTGCAGTGTTTTACTTTTGTGAACAAAAGCCTCTACTTGTGCTCTGATATTGCACCCTAACAAATATGTAAACGAACATTTATGAATGTCCATTTGCTGTTGTATGCAAATAGACTTCATGTGAAAGATATTTTCTGAGATGTTCAAAGAGCAGTTCTTACACCTCATCAGTGTGAGCTTGTGTTTAGAGAGGCCAGAGAAGCTGAGAAGATGAGGCTTTACATAAGGATGAGGCGTGCCTGTTCTGGATTTAGGATGTAGCTTTTCTGTCCTACACTGGAATGTTAATTAGGTGAGCTGAATGAAAGAGAGGTGACCCGTTCCGTTAACCAGCTAACCCTTTTCCCCAAGAGCCAGGAGGGGGGGTTCAATGTGTCGGAAAAGCCAAGTCAGCAAGTGCCTATGTGTGTGTGTGTGTGTGTGAAGGAGACACAGAAACAATATGTGGTCTGACATTGCTGACTAATCTTCTCTTAATTTTCTTTTCTTAAGTAGCTTCACTTCTCACAGCGTACCACACAAGCACTGTTTACTGATTGAAGCAACATCGGGTATAAAACAAAATAACATTTCTGTCCACGTAAATTTTCACAACTGTTCCATGCAAACAAAAAGCTGCTTTTGATGTTTGCACTAAAAGAAGCATTTCAAACAGGAAAAACTACTTCATGGGCAGCTGACCATGCCATGCTGAAACAAACTAAAACATTCAACTGAACTCAAATATGTATTATTCTCCAGCTTATGTTAAGCATAAAACTCATTGAATCAAGACAGTATACATACTGAATTCTTTGTAAAATAACACGTCATGTAAATATGTCAAATATAAGTAAAATGTAATTCTAAGAAAACTAAAGGAGTAGCGTTGCATTATGATAAAAAAAAGTCAACCGAACAAAAACATATGAAACAGTGACCTCTGGCGGAATTTCAAGGACAGCACAACTATTGTTATTAATCATTAAACAGATAACCAACTTGTTCCACTTTAACATGTAAATTAACATAAACATGTTAATTTATTTTTATTGCCCATTTTGTCCTGTTCAATGTTTCCTAACTTCCCCAAGAGACAGACTCAGTGGACCAATGATCAGTCCATCACAACTCTAATGCCCAGGTAAAGAATTAAAGTACTTATAAACGCTACACAAAAGAGGCCATAATGGTTTACCACATCACTGTTGTTGTTTTATGAAATATACACAAACCTTATAAGGTTGTCAATTAAAACAAAGACACTTTAACTTTGAGAGTAGTTTATTAAATATGTCACTTTTCAACCAGCATGTAAAGCATGTGATAAAGGCAGAAATAATCAACATGGCAGAAGAACCCTGATACTAATTATAGCAAAGGTTTATAGTTAAGTAATGCAGGATTCCGCTAATGACAAAGGCATAACATTCAACTTTAAAATCTCTTCCAACAGTAACTGCATGTAATCATTCTCTTTGATAAACATGACTATACAAAGAGAATATCAAAGAATCAATGTAGATGTAATGTGTGATTAACAGACTCTGAAACATTCATAACTTTTAAGACTAAGACTGTACAATAAAATAAGACTTGGTAGCACATAAACATCTGTAAAACTTGTAGTATTCAATGATGATTTTTTTTTTATACATTAACCAGCAAAACACTTCAGACTCATATGGGGATCAAATAAGAGCTCATTAGTGTGAATGTCCTTTTTTTAATAGGTTAGACTTAAGTTCTTTATTGACACCTAAAATAGTGCCTCTATTGATGTTTAAAATACATTTAATAAATACATATAACATCATGAGGGGGATTTTTGTTAAAGAACTGCTTTAAATCCTGACTTGTGTAAATCTCAGTTATAATTTTTGTGTTTGTTATGATGTAAAGCACTTTGAAATGCCTTGCTGCTGAAATGTGCTATACAAATAAAATTTGATTGACTGATTGATTAAGTATCTGAAGGCTGAACAATGTGTTAATTTGATGAGACCACCATGTCGAGTTCTTTGACGCCCTCCTGGGTTGAGCTGAGGCCACAGCTACCCGACAGGGGGCTCTCTGAGAAATGATTGCCAGATTTTGGAACGGCTGCTGGAGAAAGAGGAGCCTGGGCCAGACCGGGTTTCTTCGGAGGAATAGGCGGGGGGTTTCCCCTTTCCACCCTGGAGATGGTTGGTGATCGGACCCCCTGTGGAACGGCCCCTGTGGCCCTCCCAGTGGCAGGAGACAGGGGTGCTGCAAGGCTACGGTAGTCTGTACCAAATGGGGAGTTATTTGGTGTGCCCTGTTTCATTGACCCGCTCTGCTGGACGGAGGTAAACCGGGACAGAACCTGAGTGACTGTGCTCCGGGCCATCTGCTTGACTGGGCTGGGCTCAGGAGACGAGCTGCTGGTCACAGGGGAGAGCTCTTTTGGTGAGAGCAAGGGGACAGGTTGAGCAGGTTGGATCTGTGAATCTGGCTCAAAGGAACTCTGGAACTTGTGCCAGGCAGCATGGAAACGCTGGTTGATCCCAGCCTGATATGGAGACTGGTATCCTCCCTGGCTCACACTGCCTGTGGTGCGTTTGGCAAGAACAGGCGAAGTGCAAGGCGAGGAATGAGACTGAGACGGAAACGCTGCACTGGAGTGAGAAAGCGATGTTTGCGTCTCATTTCCATTCTGATAGGACGTTTTCTCTGAATGTATGCTTGACACATGAAACCCATTGGCCTCCCCTGGACAGTAAGATCGAGATGCATGGTCTTCTTCAATGTCCTCGACCTTAATACTGTCCACTGATAAGCTCCCTGCAGGAACTTTTCTAACCCGATCTCTTCCTGTTGCCTCATTTGAAGAGGCAAAGACTTCTTGCACTTCTTTCAGCTTCCTCTTCAGATCTTCCACCTTATCATAAATGAAATTCATTGCATGAAATGAAGTAATATAATAAAAGGCACCACCACATGATGCAGTTTGTCAAAGTGTTCACACCTGTTGTTGGAGATCGGAGCAATGAGCTTCTTCCTTCTTCAGCCGCGAGCGAAGCTGTTCTCGTTCTGTGTCAAACTCAGCAAGCTGCTCCTCCACCCTCGCCTCCATCCTCAGGGCTCGCATCCTTTCTTCCTCCAGCTCCTTTCGCAGAGTCTGACAGGCATCTTTTTCCTAATTATATAAAGCCAACTGTTTATAATAGAAACAAAAGGATGAGGAACTTGGATTCAAAATGTTAGGACCTTGTCAAGTTTGCGGTTCAGTTCTGTCAGGCGGTGACCCTCCTCCAGAGCCCTGGCACTCGCCCACTTGCACTCTTTGGCCAGAGCACAGGAGAGCTGCTTGTGCTGAGCCCGTTCTTCTTCGAGCTGCTCAGTAATCCGTCTCTGCTCCTTTTCCAGACGGCGGACCTGACTCCGCTCAAATTCCAGCTGCAAGCAAAGACAAGACATGCCATCAAGAAACTGTCATTAGTTGGAAGACATTATGTTTCCTGTCTATAACCCAGTTCATATTGTAAAACATTGAGTCAGTCATTTAGTTTCTGGCCGAGGCAAGTATCTTTGAAACAAAGCACCTGTTGTTGTAAGCGCTCCCTCTCCTTTTCTAGAATGTAGGTGACATCATCTCCCTCTGCTGTGTCTTCAGCATGCCTCCTCTTTTCCTCCTCCAGGTCTGCAATAACCTAAAGCAAACACAAAATAGAACAAAAGGTCATCCTGAACCAGGCATCTACATCTTGTGGCTCCAGAGTTGCAGTCACAACGGCTCTTAATAACTTTGGATAAAATTGATATATTATGGACTAATGTTTTTAAATAGGGATATAAGAAATGCAAGTTTTTTACAGATTTTTTAAATTTTGTTTTATTATATAATAACTGAGTAATAGTGACAGAAATGTTCTACTGTAGAAACACATCAGAAATTATGAGTTGTCTTTCTTCAAAGGTCAGGTAACATTTGTGGCTCGAAACGAGTTTTACGAAGCTGGACTGTAAAGGTTATAGATCCCTGTTATAGGGCAATTTAATATTATGAAGGTATGATACCTGTTTCTCAATACCTGTTGTTGTTCCATACTTCAAAAAATAAAGTATGGAAGAGTACAATTATTTTTACAACTGCTAATTAACCCATTTATTAATCAAGCTATAAATAATTTTTTATTTGGACACCAGGGATTACTTTAAACTGAGAGTAAATATTTGCCAAAATAAGACGTCTGAGAAAGTTTTATTACACAAAATTATAAACCTTCAGTTAAATTTCACTGGTTAATTAGTTGGGCTATCTCCTGAGGTAGCAAGCCTGCAGTCTGCTGCTTAACAGACATGTCAGTAAACCAGTAAACTTGAAATAGCAGAACTTATAGAGAATGCAGAACTTTAAGAGGAATGCTTCATAGTTCCTTTTATTTTTTGCAGCTGGAAACATTTACGTCTGAATTTGTCAACTGGCTGGCAGGAAGTTCACAGCGACATGTAGGGACACATCTCTCCGACATGCTCCACATAGCCTGAGATATTCCTGGTCACTCCATCTGTGTCTCTCATTAATACCTGGTACATTAGTGTCACAAATTCCCCACAAACAGCCCACAAACATATCTGTTAATATGTCTCATATTAACAGATATGAACCCAGGAGTGGATTGGAAACCCTGTGCTGCCATCTAATGATTGGCGTTATACACAATTAAACTTAATTTAACTCATTTTCCTACTTAAAATGAGAAGGAATTGTTAACGTGTATAATGTACACATTAACAATCTCTGCTTAATTTATGAGTTTGGTGTTAAAAAGACAAATAATGTTTTGTATACCACTGTAAATAAATTCAGGCAGTAAAAGGTTAAAAGCAAAGATTTGACAGAAAGTTTTAGCATTTTAGCCCATGCCTGCCAGTGAGTTTGGTTGACTGCATCAAAAGGTAAAATTGATCTTGTTTCAAAACACTGTATACATTATGAAGTGCAAGTGCCCGAGATACTGAATAAAAATATCTGCCATTTATTCAAGTTAGGTTTTGAATCCAAAATGAATATTTTATTCTGTTTCATTCAGCGAATATCTTTTGAATGTGTGTGTGCGCTGAAAACATAAATGTATATTTAATCATGTTCCTAAAAACCCAACAGACTGTGATGGGAGTGAGACTTAATTTGATAAATGTGAAAATATTGCAGCTAAATGAACAGGTTTATCAATCTTTTTCACATCACATCACACATAAGCACCACAGTGCTTCCACACAGATTTTTGTTTGAAATAAAAATAAGCACCAGTGATCTATTTGTTTTCACATCAGTTATTTGGTTTGAATCTCTTAAAGTACAAGTATTGGGGTTCACCTTCCTGTGCCTGCTCTCAGCTGCAGCCAGCTGGGCCAGCATCTTCTCTTGCATCTTCCTGCAGTGGCTCACCACCAGTTTGAGAACCACCAGAGGGTTGGAGGTGGGGGAAGAGCGACCAGGTTCCTTATTTGGGCCCCCAACAATTTCACTGTCTCTCTGCAAGGCGTGGAAGGGGTCACCGAGGTTGTACCTACCATAGCGTTCCTGGATAAACAGCTCTTTACATTGGGCCTGAGGAAAAAACAAAATGAGAAGTCAGACTTTTATTTGCATAGATTTAGTAACTCGGTCATGCTGTCTGATTCTACTCTGAGGCTCTTGTGAATCAAGACCCAGAAGGAAGAGTTAAACTGTATGTAAACTTTTAAACACATGCTGGAGGGAATTCACAAAGCGTTCCAATCTCTTCCTTTTTAGCAGATGTTTTGCTCGCACTTTACTTAATCTCTGCACTTGATTCACAAAGCAGATGGCACTAAATATTTACAGACAAAAAAATCCCTTTATAGTTGAGGAAATGGGAGTAATGTGCACCCATTTCTGTGTCAGGTCAATGCTGTCATCTCTTCAGCCACACTCATTGGAAAACTGTTTTACGATTTCTTTGTTTAAAGTAACAGAGAATTGCAGGTCATGTAGAAGGTTCCTCCAAAACTTTTAAGAACATCTGTCAGGTGGAATCACATCAGAATGACTTTTCTACGTTCAAACGTGATGCTGATAATTGTACAAAATAAAAAAGAAAGAAAGAAAGAAATGGTGGAACAATTAACCATTTTAAGTGAGTCATTATAATTGTGGTGCATGTGAGTGTAAAATAATTACATGGTATTTTACAAGAATATTAAACCAGCCTGCAGTTAAATCCAAATTAGAAAAAAAAAAACTTGTATGTTGTTTATGCGAGTAGTTGGCAAGTAGAGTTGGTTCAAGTTGCTGGTGTTGTCTGTGTATAATTCTAAAGTTTTATTCTGCATTTTAAAAAGCATCTGCATGATTTTTAAGTACAATTTAGACATTTCATTAAAATAGAAATTAGCACCTCCCTGAATAGATTATGAATCACAAAGACAAACTGTGATATGATAAAAATCAAAATTATAGTCAGGGAAAACATCACATGTAGATTCTAAGAAATGTACACATGAAAAATATAATTACAAAGAATACAACAGGCATATTGTGTTTGATGCAATAACATAATATTTACAAGAGTATAATGCAGGTATTTTAGCAACTTATTAGGTTCTGTGATAGAAAGTCTGATAGCTGCTGGGAGAAAATTCTTCCTTGTGTAAAACCTCTTTGCTTTTTCCAAAATTCAACCAGCATGGCAGTTTTTTCCCCCGTTACATCTAATGAAGGGTTTCATCTGATGATGTATTTTTCATACAGCCTCCATAACACAAATAGCTCAATAATTTCTAATAGTGTTTATGATATGTTTTTTTTTTTTGCTGTAAACTATACTAATATGCATAGCTGACTTTTTCATGCAAAATTAATAACTTCAATGTTGTCAAAATATGTCAGCACAGACAGATGCCAAGTACTTATTAGTTGTGCTATGTCAGAATCAAATCTGCATTTGCATTTAGCATGAGAATGTATTAAAACTTGTTAATGCATTTATTACCTGCAAATAGCTTAATCAGGTTGTTTTCAGAGTTGGGAAGTCTCAATTACCTCATCTCAGACTGAGTTTTAGCAATTTCTGTGACTGATATCTAATCTGTGTTCAGCAGTTTTATCAAAACAGATTGTTTTGATAAGAATTGTTTTAGACTAAGAATTCACAAACTTTCTGAATCTGTTCAGTGCTGACATTATGTATCACACTGAAAGTGTCTGAGAAGCTACTAAATGAATTTGTAGTTGCCAGTTAAATCTAAATCTTCAGACTGAAAAATTGCATGACATACCTATTAACCTCTTCCAAGTGAATTTTATTTGACAATAAAAAAATCCAGTTATTACTTGAAGTTAGCAGAATCTGCTGTTGCTTTGCTTGTATGTTGCAGGAAATGAAATTATGCATTCGGCACAGCATGATCTAAAGCAGCAGATAATGGAGGAGGAACAGAGAGAGGAAACACTTCAAAAACACAAGAGAAATGGTGCTGAGTGGAGGAAGGAGCAACAGATGGTGTGTGTCTGTCTATCTTTAGCAGGACAGCTGCTCCGCACTGGCCTTTGTCCAAGGCAGACCTGCTGTCTGTTTAACTCATGACAAAAAAAGAGATAATGGCGGCGAGACTTTTCAAGTTCAGCAGATGCCTTTAGGCCCACTGTAAAAAAGGGGGAGGGGGGTTGGTATGTGAGTGAGGAGAGAAAGATGGTTTAGGCCAATAGAAGAGCTATATATTGGTGAGATTTCAGCAAAGCAGGATCAGAAGATTAGAGAAAGCACTATATCTTGCTTGGCAGAGGGAATTGCAACGTTCCAAAAGAATGATACCAGGCTGACCTTAGAAATTAACCTGGGTTCAAGAAGAATTTAGATACATCTCTGCGTGGAAATATTTACCCTTTCAGTTCTTTAACTGAATGTTTTTTGTTTTGTTTTTTTTACCCACCAACCTACTTTTTCTCTCTTCAATAAAGGATTGTTTACAGTGGACTCAATCTACACAATCCTCTAGACTCCACTGCAATTCATTAGCTGAAAGCACAATTATGACAGGACTTGACGAGGAATTAAAATGACACTAAAAAGTAATTATACTTAATGTGAATGTGTCATTATAGAACAAAACCCACTAGTATCAGTGCCTTCATTAAATTATAAAAAAATTTAGAGTGTGCATTGTGACTGAGAGGTGCTTTGTATAATAAGCTCACCAGATGCCAGTTCTACCAGGTGTTTGCTAATTGCTGCTGTCGCTAGTCTGGAGGAGCTTAGCAGAGAAGATTCAGAGGTTCAACTTGGAGACTGCAGCTTTTGGTGAAAGCAAGCATACAACCCTGTATGGTGCTGCTGCTCCGTAAATCAAATGAGATGTAAAATTGAGCCAAAACCCTGCTTTTTGACTGTTGCTTTGAAACTTAAAAGGTCCAGTCAAATCAGATTAAAATGAACAACGAGAAACTCAGTGAAGCTATGTGAGCTCTACTGATTAATGGGAAGTGCAAGGAGGGATGATGAATTAGCGCTGATATAGAACCAAAGTTCAAGACAGATCAGAAGGTTCAGGCTTGTCTTTTCCTACATCATCAGTATTGGCTCATTCAGCACAGGAAGAGCAGGGCACAGCCCAGAGGCTTTGCTGCCGTTTTTTGAACTGGCCTGTCAAGGATGGTGTGAAGGCGGATCAAACGGCAGAGAGGGATGAAGCAGGAAAACACACTGCACCCAGGAGTATTCAAAAATGCCTCTCACATGTGAGCATTAAAGAAAGTCACATGACCACTCAGAACCTCAGTAACTGGATTATGTCCTATTCAGCGCAGGACTCCTAGATGTTAAAATGAAAATGTTAATTTAGACAAAAAAATCGGCTAAAAATGGTTCAATGTCACTGATGAAAGTTTAATACAGGATTGTTATTCCTTAAGTCAAGTAACCTGGCAACAGGCTACTCCCTGTTCTCAGAAGTGACTGTCTGATGTGTAACTTCACAGTTAGAGCTAACTATTTTTTAAATATCTTTGCACCCCGCTACTGTGCTTCTCCTTGTCACCCTTCTCAGTTCTCCTTTAGTGCAAAGATAGCTGTGCAGCTAAACAACACAAAGAAATGCTGAATTTTCTTCACACAAACGCTCCACTTTCAGAAAGTGGTGCTCAGGCACAAAAAAAAAAAAAAAAAGAAAAAAAAAACAAAACATTGGTTTTGGGAAACTTTCCCCAATGCCACCTAACACTTAGCACTCATGATTATAATTTTATTACATCACAGTAAAACACCCATACGCGTTCAGTTCCGCATCACAGTCTAGCCTCATTATTCATGCTTTGTTTGTTGGCTTCAATTCTTGGCAGCATCGGCATGTCTGAATGGCAAGCCACAGCTGTACCGTTTCCAGCTTATCTTTTGCTGACACATGCCTGGAATCCTTCAGATGTGCAACGGTGGGAACAAGATGTGTAAAACAAAAAGAGAGGCTGAGATGCATTTTTAGTCTACAGTCCAAGATATTGCAGTAGCTGTTTTTTCAAGCTCCATGTGACAGTGTTTGTATTTTGTATTCTCTGCAGGAGAAAGGCCAAACTGCTATCTAGTAGCAACTCTAGATAAAAAGGCAATTAATTTCTCATTGATGACACTCAATCTAATCAGCTGATGAATCTCAGACCTAAACACACAATTCATTTTTCTACTTCAACACTGGCTTTTCAGCAAAGCAGACGGTAAAGTCATTTGAAGTAGCTCTGCTTGGAAACTCCAGTCAACCACACCATGAGAATTTGACGGTTAATTAAAGGCTCATTTTCATTTTTGAGTCCCATTTGGACCTAAAGAGTTATTTTTTTCCCAAAACCAAAGTGACTGCTGGATCGCCACAGAGTTTTGAGTGCCAAATATAAGCATTGCCAAGCACTTCCTTCCTCTTGAAAGCCACACTTTGTAAAGCAGCTGTAGAAGTGAGTCACAAGGGGAGGAAAAAATGCAGCAGTTAGTTCGAATGCCATTGATAGCTATGCACAATTAAATTTAGAGATCCGTAAAAAGAAAAAAAAAGCTACAAAAAAAAGCAGAAAGGAAAAACTCATATTGGTTCATATCTCATATCCTAGACTTCACCATGGGGAAAAGCACTGATAACAATGTGTGGATAAAAACTTAAAGGTTTTATTTTTTAGCCAGAAATAGAAAAGGGCTGTAAATGAAAACATGTGCAAAAAAAAGTTTGATGACAAGTTCACTAAAATACATCTATCCTACACTGTGTTATTACCATAGTGATTTATGTTTATTTTAAATATTTCTCATATGATACTGACAAGGATATGACACATCCACAGTGACTCAGATAAGCATGCCTAGACCAACTTCTCATACAGTTGTTTGTCTTTTGATAAGTCTACAAGAAGTTAAATGTAATGCTTTTCAATATTTTATTTTATTTTCAATTATCATTTAATATACAAACTATAATTTGAACCTGAGAATTTTGCTCAAACCAGAAATGATTATCAAAATCATTGATACTTTCTGTGAATATAATAGAATAGAAATATGTTTTGTTCTCCCACCCTGGATATATTTCTGAGGGATGTACTTCCTGCCTTTAATTATGTTAATTATGATGACTTATGGATTGAAGCTAATGCAATCCAAAAATTCAGTATGATAAAAAAATTTGAATATGACATAAGACAATTTAAAAAACATGTATAGAAATACCATGTTATGGACTAACAGTCATGTGAAACATCGCTGACTTTGCCATGAAGCAGACAGTCACTGATATGCTTCATTAGTAGAGTGAGCCACACAGGTAAGAAGTTGGTTGTTCACAGAGTGCTACATCAAAGAAAATCATTGCAGAGTTTGGTGAACAGATGGTGCGCAAATAACAGTGAGAGCCTCTGATTAGAAAACATTGTGATAATTCTCAAAAGGCCTGCAGCCTCAGGATCAGCTGTTTCTTCCTTCATTTACTATACATTTTGCTTTACAATGGGAAATAAAAGTCTCATAGTTTGGAGAAAGATTAGATAAGCAAGGTTACTTGAATTTCAGAGTGAATGTTCCACAGTCAGTAATGATTTGAGTATCCATGTAATCTGCTGGTGTTAATCATCTGTGTTTCACCAAGACCAAAGTCTGAGCAGCCAAGTACCAGCAAATTGCAGAGAAATTCATGTTTCACATGCTTTATGGATCTGAATTCATTTTCCACTAGGACACTGGCCAAAAAAACTGAGGATCAATAAAGTTAGAAAACAGGAAGATAAGGGACACAAGAGCACACATTGAAGACAAGCTGAAGGCTGTTATTCTGTCCACAGAGTCAAAGGCTGATTGCAGCTGATGGTACCCATACTGGGTTTTTAGTTTGAAATTGGAAACATACAAATTCAGGAGTTTTCAAAATTTTATATAATATGATAAATTAATAACACACATCTGAAGCGATAGTATATCTACACTTGATAAAAATGCATCTATAGTTTCTCAAGTAAGTGATTATTAAAACACGCACTACCTACAAGGTTCAGTGCTTAGTCATTTCAGAGAACATTTGTGTCACTGGACAATGTTTAACTGATAATTATCTTTTTTTGTGTTAAAATAAAACCAAATATAACCCAAAGTAAATTCCTTCCCCTACATGCCCTACCTTTAATACAAGGTCAGACTCCATCCATAAGTTTAAGCTGATAAAAACATCTGCAACTATATATATATATATATATATATATATATATATATATATATATATATATATATATATATATAGATAGGAGAAGGACTGTGGTGCAGACACAAACATACAAAAAATTCGGCAGCTCTTTCTCTGCTCTAATGGCTGCAAAACCTGGATGTTAATGATGAGAACTAAGACTCCAGGCATAATCAAGATATGCAACAGTTTATCTTGACGGTTATGAAAGTTACATTTTTAACCCGTTTCAGGAAATGATAGCACTTTCTGTCACTTTTCTGTTGTGGCAAATACAAGCCAAGATTCTGGTTTTCAGTTTTTCAGATAATAACTTTTTGACAATTTGACACTCCTTAATGGTTGTCCAAATCCTCCTCGGTGGAACAATGACTTTCACTCCCAGCTAATCATTCAATCACCTCCTCTGTCCGCAACTGACAAGGAGGACTACAGACATGGGCAATGAAGCTGCTATCATGTTGAATATGGTGGTAACTAGCAGGTGGATGTGATCAGTCATGGTAATTTACAGATTCCTTCCCTCAAAGAGGAAAACTTGAGTCAAACCACCACAAGTAAAAAGCTACCCCAGGGCTTTTACAGAGCCGCTGAATCTCCTCACTGCAGGACACAAGCTTTCAAGATTTCACTTTGCCAAAATGTCTTTTTACTCTCTGTCATGGTTGAGGAAACCTCACTCTGCTCTGTGTATTCTGAAAAAGCTTATCAAAAAAAATCCAAAGAATGCTTAGTCAATATGTTAAGTTCTCCCATCCAGGGCACCTAATTAGGTGAGATTGTCATTATGAGAAACGATTTAAAGAAAAAAGCCATTATGAGCTGTGAAGAATTTTACTATTTGATTATTGTTACCTTTAGAGCTTCAATGACAACATCCCGAGCCTGCAGCTCTCCTTCCAGGATGCTAAAGAGCATCAGCAACTCCGCCTTGCTCAGGCTCTCCATGTTCACTTTGGTCTGTTGAGACAAAAGACAGAACAAAATGATCTACATCAGGCATTTCTTTAGTTGAGCAAAGTATTAAACAAGTCTAAAACAGGAAACACAGAAAAGCCCATAATCCTTTCTCATCAGTTTTCTCATTGTGACTTTACAACAATTTTTCAGTTATGCAGTTTTTTTTTCTTTATATTAAGTCACTTTCCTCTTCCCATAAATCAGACATTGAGGCAGACATCTAATCTCTTCCACTTATTTATGAGCCTTCAGTGGACATGTGGTTATTATCTTCGAATGAAGTATTTTTCCAAAGTAGAGCAAGGAAGATTTTATTTAATAAATGAGAAGTAAAACCTTAATATCTTGGGTTTAGTTTAAAAGAAGACTTAAATTAAGCTCTGCCAAATTAAAACACCACCAGTGGAATCTGATCTGTCTGCAACCGGTACTGGCTGCAGAAAAATCATATTCAAACTTTTCCACTTTCATTTACCCATTCAGGTCCAAAAGTCATCGAACTGATGAAGTCACAAAACTTTAAAATATCTTTTTGTTTTTCCAAGAGTTCAAACCCTAATGGGTGCTGTGACAGTTATTTTAGAGTTGGAAATGAGAAGTAGCCCCTTTGTAGTGTCTGTGTGCTTTAATCTCCCAGCTGTGTTGGTTCTGTTGACAAGCCCCGCGGTGTCTACATCTCCAGCATCCAGCCGCACTCTGCCCAAGTAAAAACATGCGGGCCTCACTTTGAAACGAGATCAAAGCTGTCCATGTTACTACACTAAACATCATTTTCTTATGAGACTCGTCATATGGGTTAGATCTCCACCCCACTGACTGACTGACTACGTAATAACACACATCCACTGCTATTTGAATCACAGAAATACCATTTAAGTGGCTGAAGCATCTGAAAAATCTCCTAGTTTCCTTAAAGGCTGTGATCCATGAATGGATTAGGATTCTGCTTAAAGCAATCTGTGGTAACCATAACTGAGTTTTATGGAGTCTAAAAGGAGAGGTTGATGAGTTTTAACACAGGTTTATGAGAAAAGAAGTCATGATGAACTTAAAGTCAAAATACATTCAAAATGATCTCCTCTTAGCATAATCCCTTACAAAGGATTTATACTCTGTGAAGATTTTCACCTTTTGACACATTACAACCAAAAAGCATATTTTACTTGCATTTATATGGTAAACCAACAGAAAATAGTACATCAGGATCAAGTGGAGGGAGAATGACAGAATAAAATTCATGATGTGTTTTTGTTTGTAGCCTAACTAAATCAATACTATACAGAACCACCTTTTGGTTTAACAAGTGAAGGTTTGGAGTAAATTAGTCCCAGCTTTGTTTGCCTAGTGCTCTGTAAAATAGAGTGTAGCCAAATTGAATGGGGACTTTCTGTGAACATTAAGTTTGAAGGTCCTGTAACAGATTTGCATCAGCATTTAGGTCTGGAAATTAACTGGCTCATTATAAACACATGAATGTACATTCAAAGCATTCCATTCCAGCTCTGACTCTTTGCTTAGAGTTGTTGTTCTTCTTGAAGATGAACCTATAAACTAGTATCAAGTCTTTGGTAGCCTCCAACAGGTTTTCGTACAGGATCACCCTTAATTTAGCTTTGTCCATTGTCCCATCAACTCTGCACATTATCTGTTCCCAATGAGTCTTTTTTAAGAAAAGTAAAATCATACCATTCCCATACTGGGATGGTATGACTTTAAATACAAGACAAATAATCCATGGTGTTCCCACCAGAGCGCATCCTTCTACGTTTGGTGTTTTCCCATTATGGATTGTGATCAGTTCCAAAATGAATTTCTCATAACTTTCTTTAAGAGGTGGATTTAGTTTTTCTTCTATAATTGTTGTCCACCTGAGCAGTGGATCCCTGCAGCACCTTTGGGGTTACCATAGGTCTTGTTTCATTTATGGGTAGCACTCAAAAAGATAAGAGTTGACTACAAAGAAACAAATGTGTCCTTTTCCTTGTACATGAAAAATATATCCAAATGCGTGCTTTCTACTCCACAACATCATCAAAAAATACAATAAGATTGGTCTATACGTTATGAATACTTTTGCAAGATGCCTTAACTAACTGTATCCAGCTCATTTTTCTGCAAAGCAGTGTGCAGAAGCTAGAAGAAGAAAAACCACAAGCAGCATATGCTCGAGAAGTTTTTAGTCCTCCTTTGTAGCAGCACTCTGTGGCTAGACCACCAGTGTAAAACGCTAATTAAACTCCAGCATATACATGCCCTCCTTTAGTTTTTGCTTTACAGGCCTGCTTGCTAATTTCACAGGCCACCATAATCACTGAGAGAAGTCTGTGCTGTGCACGTTTTGTGAGAAGTGTCTGGGCTTGCCAAGGCCTGCATGCGCCATCGTGCTTGGCGTCACTATTAAACACATCGCAACTATTTCCCTGAGAGAGGAGCAGTTAACCATGACATATACAAAGATGATGGCATGGGAAATACAAATACTTCTACATGTCCTCCAAAGCTTCACGCCGGACGACAACAGCCCATTTGCGATACCTGTAAAGCAGTAAATATCTTTGTAAAACATGAAGCAGCTTTCACTGTGAAATATATGAAGACCAAGCAGACTCTGGGTTTGAGTGTAGCTGCTGCTGATTGTAAAATATAAGGGCAAAGAAAGAAAATCCTTTCTCCTAATCTAATCAAAGTCCATTAACTATTCCCCTTTTTAGTCTCAGAAGAGGTTATAAGCTCTTAAGCTCAGGCTGAATGGCAGGAAAAGCCTTCCTGCCAATACATTAAGCAATCTGGAATGCACTCAATTTTTTTCTTTAAGAATAGTCAAGATAGCAAAGTGGTTAACAGTGTTCATTTGTGCACAAAAAATTTTTCTTCTTATTTTTCAAGTGACTTTTCTGAAAAGAAACAGACAGAAGAAGAAGAAAAAAACAGCATTTGCACAAATACCTCAGAGCATGCAGCCGTGAGATGGGGGGGTCAGCTGAGGGGAAACAGAGCAGGAGAGGTCTGCTGCGTTTCCTTTTCCCTCACCAGCAGATGCAGCATGTCTGGATACTAAATTGGATTTATTTGCCAACCCAATTTTTATACAGGCCACAGACTTGCCTTACTCCGCTTTCTACCCAATTCAACGCAGCTTTACTCGTAAAATAAAAACGACAAACAAAGTAAATGTGGATGCTTCTCAGTTAATTAAGGATTATTTAACAACTGAAGTCGCTGCAAAGTAAAATCTTTGAGCGCATCCACGGAGATCAACAGCCGATCTTACTGATGAGATAAAAACTCATCTCATAAGGGGGAAAAAAATCAAAGAAAAACGAATGAATACTTTTTTGTCAAACGATTTGGCCAGTAGGCTCGAGTGAATCTTTTCTTCTTGTCTTTCTACTCTCATGTGAAACAACCAGCGCGATCAAAAGTCGAAGGTTTTCTTCACGTACTCACGGAAACCACTTGTCATTTTCACTTCTTACCTTCATGTGTCTTTCAAAGACGTTTCTAAACTCCAGCATGAACTTTTCTTCTGCCAGACGGTTTGTTTCCCTTGATTTGCGTCCCCCGATCCCGACGCAGCGGAACACTAGAAGGCCAAGTGACTTCCAGAAGAGCAGCTTAACCAACCAATAGGAAAGCAGCGGCCTCGAGATCTGGCCAATGAAAAATGTGGTGATGGGAATATAGGAGGAGCGAGATAAATTCCGCCTGTTTGAGTTTTGGTCTAATTTCTTTGTTTGGATTTTCTTAGGTTGCAGTGCCAGCCTCTAAAAGGGTCTCCCAGAGACTCGCAAATAGCTTTAAAGACTGAAGAAAAGTTTTACTGGGGAGCCAGAATGTTATAGAGTAGAAACTTTAGGTCCCGCAATTAATGGTAAATGTTGAAGTGACAGATAACATCGTTGCCTCGGTCTCATGTCTGTGTTCACTAATGTCAGTAGTTATTTGGTTGTTTTATTTTGCTTGCGCAAAACAGTTTTAACACAAATGTACTCTCAGTGTAAGGAGTAAAAAGTTGTAAAGATTATACCAAAATCTGTAGAAGCATAGCATTATATGAAAAAAAAATGAAACTGATCTTTTTAGATCATCCTAAAAAGATGAGAAAGAAAGATTTTCCCTACTAATCTAATCAACATTGGGTGTGATTCTGGGGCGTATCTGCAAAATTAGACAACCAAATGTGCTGAGCAACACAAAAAACCTTGTTCATTATAAAGGCATCATTTAAGAAAAATATAAACTCCGATTTTTATGATTTGAGCCAGGAGTGGACCAAGGGTGTATGAAGCCCAGGGAAGATTTTCATTTGAGGACTCATTCCAGCTAAACTCATAGAAAATATGCTGCTTTCACTTTTCTCTGAAGTTCAAGCTTAGATATGAAAATTAAGTTAGTACCTTACTTGATCATGTTCCTATTACCCCAAAAAACCAATTGTTGTTAATTAACTAACTGTTTATGGCAATACAATACTGTAAAATGCTTTTTTTTCCCATTCAAGCATTACTGGAATTTTGGTTGTACATTATTGCATGTCACTCCAGTTGAAACTATCAGAAGTTCTAGCAGCAGCCAATAAAGTTTAAGAGATTGTGTTGGAAATGTTTTATAATGTCAACAAAGTGTTAGGAATGTAACAAACCTGTAAATACACTCCTTTCTTCTGACTTAAAGAATCTAAAAGAAAGAAAGAAATTAGTCCTCATTTCTGTAAAACACATTTTTTCAAAGACATTTTATATATCTATTATAGATGTATTATATATATTTCATATAATATCTGAGTAGGAACATAAGCAGTTACCAAGGACAACACACTAGGTGTTTTATCTTTAAAAATACACTGTATTGTGTCAATTGCCCACAGTATTCTTTCTGCAATACATAACAACAACCAGTAGAGTGCAATGCTCACATAAGTTAGCTGGTACAATAGCTGACAGTTATTTTGTCAGCACACACACAATAAATATAGTGATAGTGAGGGACAAAAGCTGGATCCATCCACTGCTGTCCAAATGTCTTCCTGGACCACAAACCCACTTTTTAAAGCACGATTTAATAGCAAGGCACAATGATGTAAGAGGAAATCTCAGTTGCATTTTAGCTTTGCCATTTTATCAGGATATTGGACCTTTACACAAAGAGGCCTCTGTGCTTTTTGATTATTTTGTCCTCCTTTTACACCCTCTCTTTCATCTTGAGGGTGTGCAGAGAGCAAAGTCAGAGCATTGTCCCTCCTGATTGGCTGCTGCTGCTTGCCGCTTCTTCAGCACTAATAAGAGTCTCTATTTCAGGCTCCTCAATTAAGCAGCTCTGCTCAGCCTACTGACTGGCTGCTGTGGAGAATCAGTGTCCTTACATTCACTGTCACATGTCCTTGTCTCCCTTTCAAACAGGTTCCACTGTGAACCTGTTTGAACAAGGTTTTCCGTTTTGTTCAGTTTGAAATAATTGTTAAATCTTGTGGCTTAAATGTGAACCAAGAATAATTTTTCTTCATTTGGACTTTATAATTGAGCTGGGAAGGCTGTGTGGAAAATGGAAATGGCAGGGCTATCTCTTAGAATTGAATATTGGTTTTGTAAGAAGTGATATGAAAGTGTAATTTGCTTCAATATTGCAGTTTTGGTGTCCCTCTTTGAAATGTGCTTGAATTCTGCTTCTACAATCATGAAAACACCGGTTTGTCATAAGGCAACCAACAGATTTTTGAATTGGAGATCTGATTACTTGAACATTGTAGTATGTGGAATACCTTTTAATTAGCTTTTGAATAGGCAGATTGTAACAGCTGGATAAGGAATGATTACTAGTCACACCTTTTGAGTCACACTTGTGCTAGTTTTAAACTGGACTTTTCTAACTTCCTGCAGTTAGAAAGATAGCAGGTGATAGCTGTGTTGAAATGGTGATTCTAGCTTATGTTTGATTATGAAACCTCATCCATTCATTTTCTTCTGCTGATCTGATGCAAAGGTAACACGTTCAGTGGGAAAACCCAGGCATCCCTTTGCACGTGTCCTCCAGCTCACTTTATTTATTAACCTTTATATCTGCAGGAAAACTCAATTGAGATTAAAAATCTAATAAAATCCACTCTTACTGATCCCAAGGTGTTCTCGGTCAAATGGGAATATGAAGTATAAGTGAGTTCAAAGGTCAGCGCCAATGTCTTCTCCCAGAAGAATGAATTCAGAAAGCCTTTGTCCATAATACATATCTGTTGACCATGAGTTTGAGGTGAAGCAAATGAGCAAGAAAGCTGAGAGCAGATCAAAGAGCTTTTCTTTTCATTGAGCTCAATTGTCCTTCATCCAACTAAGATGCCCAGACTTCACCAACAAGTGCGCAAAAAATATAAAGTCTAAAATCTAATTTAAAAGAAAACATTGTAATTTTTTTTCTTTCTTTGGAATTGAATTTCATCCCAACATTTTCTAATGTTGTTGTGGCTTCTATAGAGCAGAAAGTCATAATCCGTCTGAGCAAAGCAGATTGACAGCTCATTATGCCCAAAATTTATGTCTGCCTTGTTTACATGCAAGATAAAGTTTCTAACATTTCTGACTTTCATAATTTAAAAAAAGTTATTTGTTCATTTATCAAAAACTGTTGGCAAAAGTAGCACAAACATCAGTTTTTACAAACATCTATGTATTAAAATACAAACCCTCAAATGTTGTTGTTTTGTTATTTCTGTCTTATTTAACAACCATAAAGTTAAACACACAAACTTGTAAAAGATAAATAAAAGTCTTGAACTTTGTGAGAGTTACAGTATTTTTTGATTAACTGAAACATTTAGGACAACAAAGAAAAAAAACAAGGAAATTTGTAAGGGGGAAACATTTTTCACAGCAATTCATAAGACCCACATAAACTCCTACAGATCTACAAATCCTCCAGGGAAGAAAAATCTATAGACTGTTTTCTACTATGGTTTGTCTTAAGGTTTTCTATTACTTTTGTTCACTCAAAACGTCTTCTTCATCTCTTTTAATGTTATCTCTCACTGTGAAGGCCACAGCTTTTCTTTTTCACAAAGCTGTCCTGGGTTTCAGAGAGTGTCTGAATCCGGTTCAAAAGAGAATATCAGTACATTGCCACACCAAGCTCAGCACATCAGGGAATTCTATAAAAGGATATTTAAGGTTGGAAAAAAAGCATGGCTTAAATCATAAAGAAAATCTTTCCTGTGGGATATTATTTCATCAGCTCTGATAGTTCCAGGTTCCATCATGAGCACACACATAAAAAAAAAAGTTCTCCCAAACCCCAAACAATCTCAGTTAACCACAAACATCTGGGACCCTAGTCTCAGATGTCAACTACAAAACTTCAATCTGTCTTACTTGTGCGGTATTATTCCCTGTTTAAGTGGTGTGCCAAATGAATATTTCATCTCTATTTCTCACCTGGCACAAAGTGTGGATGTGACACACCTTTGTGGCACAGACACGATCACACAGAAGAATGGAAAGAGGGAGCTGTAAATATAGCATCAGAGTCCTGGCAGGAGCCGGCGACAATCTCAAACCTAATCTGAGGCAGTTATCAGCATCTGTTGCCTGGCACCCAGTTCAGTGGAGGTTTAGTTATTCATCTATTGCTCCATATCTGTCAAGTTTTTTTTGCGTGCGATTCCCCATACAGAAGATGTATTCAAAAGTGTGGGTAGATGTAGCCTCTCAAAACCCCCTAAGTGAGTCAGTCAGTCAGTCACTGTTACACTTGTCTTCTTTGCTCAGCAGATCTGATTCCATGAAAAGATTAAAGGTTTGAACATTGATTAGTTATGCCAATTTGTGGAAAATAGTAAATGTAAATTACTTGCGTCTGACCTTGAAGTTTAATCATTTTCATCTGACCAGTGGGTTTCTGTGTCCTGAAGCATGATAAATTTGTCTAGTTTTACCTATAAAGGTTTTTTTTTATCATGTGGGAGCAGGTGAATGGAACGTTTATTGTCCCAACATTGCTTTATCATTTATGTTGTTTATTAACTTTAAATACTCTCAGCTTTTCAAGAACACTGTCCCTGAACCAGCTCTTGGAGAGAGAAAAATAAACTAAATCAATCACAGTTTATGTGTTATGTGTTGTTTCATACATAATAGAAACAGATATTACAAAATGCTATATTTGATCTGTTAAACATTGTGTTGGCAACTTTATTAGATACATCTATCTCTGAAAACTCAGAACACTGAACCTTAAAGTAGATTGGATACAGCAGCAGAAGATGAGTCTCACATTTCCACATTGTAGATGTGCAGTAAAAAGAATACAGTCCTTTTTACTCCTTATTAATATTTTTATATTAATAATAATTATTTCTAGCATGTTGTTGAATCTATGACGTGGAGGAATGAAACAGTTGAGAGGCAAAACACAAGTCCTAACTGGTACTATTAATGTGTATCTAATAATATGGCCAGTGAGACTATAACTGTACTCCAAAAAAACATCTCTAAAATAAATTAAAGGGTTCAAAATATTGGAGATAACGTATATGGAAGTATATGAAAGGAATAAATTATGAGAACAAACCTGAACTCTAGAC